CCTCCTCCTGCTTGTTTGTCTTCTCCTCTTCATCAGCCTTACTACTGTTCCACTCCGAAACAGTGGCATCCTTCTTTGGCGACTTGTCCACTACGCTTTTTGTGGAACCACCTTCGTCCGGTTTTGTGTTCTCGGTTTGACGATGAGCTACCAATCGCATGATCTACCAAAAAGTACGTAAATAAGATTATCAAAAGTCCTTTATATTTTATTAGGTGCCTCAAAGGCATTGATACCACCAACTTGTCGGACAGGTGGATGATCACCAAAGTACAACCGACTGCCCAACTTCAAAGGTCTACAACCCAAAAAGTCAAACACCCAAAGATAAAAAAAGAAAATTGATGCTTTTCATATAGAAAATTTAGTGTGTACTTAGCTTGTGATGTGTACTTGGCCTGACCTTACAACTCCAAGTAGCCCAATTTCTTTAAGGATTGGCACAGGACTGCGGATGAAGGGGAAGTTATGCCAACAGGATCCATCCAAACAGTTAGTGACTTCTTGAACGCCCTCGCTACTTCTATTTAGACGACTAGAACTTGAAATTATAGCGTGATAATGAAGCCTTAATAAAATGCATATTCATTTCAATAAAGATTTGCTTCTTTTGTTTGCAAGTTAAAAGTTTATATTAAAAAAAAAAGGCAAGTAACAGGAAGATGGTGGTGGGCAATGAACCAACTTTGTGTGGTTAACACGCTGAAAACTGGCATCGCCATCTTTTCCCAGGAAGACATAAAATGGCTGCCATTTGTACTTTCCGGTAGGTATAGGCTTTTAGATGGGGAAAATGTCGACGCTTCCGGTTTAATCTTGCTCCAACTTTACAACCACCTCCTCCCTTCTCCATAAATTTATGCGAGATTGTTAAGAGGCGGGGAAAGGTGCTCGTTGTTTGGGGCTCCTAGAATCCAGTCGTTTATCTCACTTCAACTCCCGAGACCAGCGTTGGGAAATACATACGCTGCCTCAGTGGGAAATACGTTGTCCTTGGCCCTTAAAACAGGCAAGAAATTGAACAATACGAGATTGTAGTTGCAATGCTTCGCTAATGCCACTACTTGCATGAATGGCGGTCGCTTTGATGTCCGTCTTGCTCTTAGCAGGCCAAAGCTCCACGCCTTCCCTTGTCTCTGAATGCGGGTGTTCAGCTCTATCGAAAGCCTTTCACCACTTAGTGGGAAGTCTCGGAACGCAAACCTAATGACAGCAAAAAATTAACCCCCCATCCTAGGACTGCTTCCATTCTGCTCTTCATCACCACTTTGGGAGAGAGAAGCTTCCACCTCTCCACAACAGAAGGATTGAGGCCAAAGTCCTCAGTTGGCATCTTCTCAGTCGGGAAACGTCTGAAAAGGTTTGATTAGGAAGTTCGCCTTATCGTTTTCTCATTACAAGGAATCTCTTTTCATATGAAAATAGGCTTAATCGCCTTTCTCTTGCCTTGCTGCTCTTTTAAATCAGTGCTCCAATATCGCGTTCTGGACACAATTGACGATCAACAGAAATAGCCGAACCTGATTCCTAAAATCTGTCCGAATGTAATTGCAGATTTGGATGAAGTTACTGGAGTGATGAAATACACTTCCTCAGTCTCATAAAAAGCTAATTACTGCAGCACCAAATACGTTGTAATAAATAGCTGCCTCGGAAGGTGTACCCACGGAAGCGTCAACGACGTCGCTCAATAGAAGTGCGAAAATAATGTAATGCCTCGTTTATTTGAGCT